CCTTTGCGGTTAGAAAATTGCACTTGATCATGTCGCGATATTATCGCAAATGCGATATATCGTTCAGCCCTACTTAGAAACAAGGTGCTGTCTCTTTAACACATTTACATTCATAAAATCTGAATAAACTTGATGAAGTCACGTAGGAAAACCACCTCAAAACAGGAACTTACATATAACTACATTCACTTTGAGGAACAATGACAGACCCCCAGAAACAAAAGTAGTATTGAAACATTTTTTACTTTCATCTTCAAGTCAAATAACTGCAAATCAACTGTTCATGCAAATCAGTGGAGACGCCATCTTATTGGTGATCAATCTGTTATTGGTGCCACTAATTTGCCACGACTTATTAAAAATGGCTGTAAATACGAGACACAGAAAATCGCAGCGTCCCCCTCCTCCCATCAGGCAGTGAGTCATTTCTCAGTAACGCTGCTGAAGAAGGTCACAGTGGTTTCTTCTAAACAGACGCTCGCTCAGATCCTCTCAGGGTCTGCGTGCTTCCCTTCAGAAATGTTTACTGGCTGTTCTTTTTTACTCTGTCGTACATTTGATGTTTATTCTTACGTTCGCTCAACCTTCAGATGTCTTACGAGCCGTTTTCTGTAGAAGCGCTTCTGAAATTTAAAAGCTCTGCAGATAAAACCCAAGTAATAAAGGTTCATTTCAGCTGCATTTAAAAAGCAATAAATAAGTTCATGTTAGAGGATCTAAAAATGTAAAGTTATTATTTGCACGATGTAAGTTCAGTATTTTTATATTTCTCAAACTTTATTCTTTTTGTCTTACTGGTCGTTTTACTGTTTTTTGTTTTTTGTCACGTGTCATGCGAACTTGGCTTAACTGTATGTTCATGTTTGTCCACATGAATATAAAGGTCTTCAGTTTAAATCTTGAAATATTTAAAGTGTTTTGAGTTTTATCAAAGTCATTTTACATCCATAAGCGTGTCACGTTTAGTTTGTAGTTAGTAAATGTTGGCAGGAGGACTCTGTGTGCTGATGACGGGAGGAAACGGGGACGTTTAACAAAAGCTCCTGAGACACGGGAATGAACTCCGGTGAAATAATAGTTTGTAACAAACAAAAACGAGGGAGAGTAAGATAAAACGCCGGCCCTGACAGAGGCGCTAAGGCACAACAGAGTTTAGACTACATTTAGAAAAAAAATTAGATTGCTTTTGTAGAATAAAGTCAAAAATAACGTTGAACATGTATTCTTAGGAGAAAAAATCTAAATGTGAAGATTTCCGTTGTTTTTTTTCTCAAAGTAGAATTACGACTTTAATCCCGAGATTTCAACTTTAGTGTCAAAATGGTCAATAATATATTTCTTTCTTAATCTGGCCCTAATACTCCATCGAGTGGGAAAAGCACAAAGGAGGAACCAAGTTTCAAATAAAACAGGAAGTAAACGAAAACGGAGGCCGTGCACTTGTTCAGTGTTTTCTGCATCATCCGGGAAATCCGTTCTGCGGCTGTGTTTATTGAACCAGACCACCAAGCAGGAACCTAATTTGTTGGGGGAAACACACGCGCTCATTATTCTGCTCTGTTCAGCATCATCTCCGTGTTTATTGGCCTTATTTGACAGTGATATCATTACAAATGGGCCTGATGATTCCAGTGAAGAGTCTGCATGGGAGCTCAGTCTGAGCAGAGGTAGATTCATGTCAGTCCAGTCATTTTCATACATGCATGACATGCACATGTCAGTTTTCATAACTGTGGCATTGTTTTGAAGGCTGATTGTCCTGCCTGTA